TGACTGAGTCACCCAAGCCCATGGTGAATTTAGGCTAAATAAACCTTACAAGCAAGACCCCTTGTACAAGAGTTTATGCAAAAACATTTGTTTAGTTCACACCTCTGTCTTCAGACCCATGTCAGACTTTCTGTACTCCTTAGACTTTTGTGGGTAGGTAACAGCTTCATGCCAAAACAGTCCTGGTTTGTGTATCCTGCTGTAATCTGCTGTGGCACACTAGCAAGAATAGAAGCTTCTCTGAGTATTTTTAATTCTTCTTTCCTCTCTTTAATCTAAGAAAATTGAAAGGAAAAGTGACCTTTTGGGATGGAAATATGGGATGACTTTTGGCAGCTCCAAGATTAAGACAGGAAACTATTAAGTTGGAGACTTTGCTGTGTTAACACTGAAGTGTAACAGTGCTATGGAGATAAAGATTTCTGATACTGGTCAAGGATTTTGTGTATTAAGTATGTGGAGTGTATTTGTATAGCTTTGCTTTTCTTTTCAGCTGAAATTGTAGAGAACTGTTGATCCAAATAGTATCCAAGTCCAAATAACGTTAATTTGCAACCATACATTTGAACACTGCATTGTTCTAATCTTGTGAATGCAGGACACTGTTAGTAGTAATATCTGCAAATGAAAACTGCATCACTTGCTATTGCAATCTACTTTGGATCAATGTTTGATCTTTTACACTTTTATGTTCACTATGCTGATGTCCAGGCTCAGAACTGATGCTTTTACCTATGTGAACATGGGCCCCCAAGAACAAACTGAGGAATTCACACTTCAGTTCAGTCCTCTCATTTACAGTGTTTACATGTGGAGAGACCCATCAAGGAAGGGGAAGTGATGGGAACCTTCCTAAATTTCATCTGAGTTTGTTCAGTCTGTTCCCAGACATAGATACAAGCAACTCTTATGAGTGTACTGTGAATATGCTGTTTCCTCCAGCAAGGATGATGCATTAGGGGAATTCTGTTTGTAAGAAGCAAAGCTTAAAATAGAATGGCATGTAAGAATGTATCCTTCCTAAGCGTTACAGTTTCTTTGTGTCATAATGAAGTACAGGGCTTTTAAAATTTATATTATTCATGTCCCTCATATATCTGTTGATCTTTTCATTGAGGTGGCTGACCAACCTTATGATGTCTAGTTTTGTACAAGCCTTTTTTTCCCCACCTTCCCTCTATTGTTGGTGTTTTCCATTTTGTCTCATTTTCTGGTCAGATAGTTTTAATTTGCATTTCCAGTGTCTGATTGTGTCATATTTCTGTAGCTGTTCACACACTCCTTCTATTCAATTCCTCTTATTTTTTTTTAGAAGTATTTTCTTTTTTAATGCACAGTATTTTATCTTCTTTCTACATCTCTATTAACTCTCTGGAGTGCTAAACCTAAGAATGAGTGTTAGTAGCTGAGAGATTGCCTTTGGCATACTTAATTGTAGACAAGTTGTTTGAACTTGTAGCACTTGGAAAATGAAAGTTAATATATTTGTTTTGTTGTTCCCATGGAAACGAGATATTTATAATGAGCTTCTAAAAACAAGTTACAAATACACACAAAGAAGCTGAATCTTTGTACCAGTTGCTTAATAGGAAGAAACTGGATGTTTGGGGTTTTTTAAGTTCATTTTTATTTTTTTTTTTTTTTTAGTTCATGTATTCTAGAAAGCTGCTGTCAGAAAGAGTCTTCCTGAATGTGAACAGGGTATTAAAAATGGTGTAAATAAACAGAGTGTGACTGCCTTGTGTGTCATGCAGTGTTCATAGTATTACCTTTTTTTATAGAATCATACAATAGTTTGTGTTGGAAGGTACCATACATGGCATCCAAAAAGTGCCAGAACAGGCTGTTAGTTAATCAAGAGTTATGTTCTTGGAGTTTTCCACAAGACTTGGCATACCTTGCAACTATAGAATTTTTGAGTTAATTATGATGCTTTTCACATGAGTTTGATAATATTGTAATAAGTGGGAGGAGGGAAGAGAATGTTTTTGGAGTGCAAAAAAAAAGGGCAACTTTCAAAATTAAAACTGCTTTATTTAGGAGACTTTTACTTGGGATATAGTTCCAAAAATTCCTTTACTCCCAATCCTATTTTTAGTTTCACTCCAATTAATGTTTTTTGCTGGTAAAGAGTACCTGCCATAATGTGCATTTCTTTTACTTCTGGGTCCAGCAGCAGTACTATGTTGTTCATGTATGTATCCACGTTGTGGTTACATCTTAAGTTGGAAGGGAGATAAAACCTCCTTTCCTTTCCCCTTGTTAGTGTGACAGGGAAAACATTAAATTGGAGAGGTCGGAATGGTTGTGTCTTAGACCAGAAGGAGAGGTTCTTTGTTTCTCTTGGCACCTTTATTTATGTATTTTTCCTTTTTAATACAGGGGAAAAACATAAAACAAGTCATTCTTTTCTTTTTGATAAGTGTGGAACCAAAAATTCTGCATATGTAAATAAAAATAAAAGTAGTCGACATGAACTTCAACAGTTTTTGCAGAAAGTGGTCATTCCCTTTCCCACTGTGATAATCCTGACCGATGAGCCAAGTTAAACTGTAGGAGTCCTGATTTGGAGACTTCCAGGTAACCTATGTGCCGCAGAAAATCACATTGGAAAGATCTGTATGTTAGACTTGGCTGTGAGCCTGCAGCGAACAAGGGGCTTGGTGCAGTGTTGCGCTAAGCTTTGCAGTGATTGCCAATGCTGTCTTTTTTTGAAATGAGAAAATTAAGTCCTGACCCCTTGAGCTAGTTGAAAGTTCCTGCACATGTTTCATCAGAAGAGGGATATTAATCCTATTAATGAAAATCCTAGACAAATTCCAAGTAGTTAATTGCAGCTTATTCCAAGTGTCTTTCTGAGTAATGAAATACAGGATTATATTCTTCATTTCTACTGTCCTGATGTTCTTTTACTAGCATGTTGCATGAGATACTCCAGCATATGCTTCACCTAAAGCAGACAAGTATTTACAAACAAAGTTTGGTCAAAAAACAGATAAAGTTTATCTGTTTATCTTGGAAATAAAAGGCTACCAGTAATGAACATATGTGACGGGTTGCATTAGTGTTGAGTTTTGTTGTGAGTAACTGATTTCTCCTTGTTTTAAAAGCCTGGGATAAAATTTCATTTTGTGCTTAGTTAGTTGAAGTAGGAGTCACTTCCTAACTGCTGAGATCTAAAACTGAGAAATCTCACTTCCCCCTCTCATTAGTGGAGGTACGCTCCAGCTGAGGGGGATTTGACCTCTGAAGGTGTCTGAGAGAAGATCAAAGATAAGTCAATGACAGATAGATGAACTGTGCTTCACAGTGGCTCTTTGTGATGCTTGAATTGAAATTAGATTTCTATGCATAGTTTTTCTAGCCTGAGGTTTCTGTTGCCAGTGCACACTTTCTCTGTCCTTGCATCTATCGTTTATTCCTATATAAACAGCTGTCACTGTTGAAAGGACTGGTCTGGGTTGTGTGGTGGTTTTTTTGGTTGTGGGGTGTTTTGGTTTTTTTCTGATTTGCTTGAAATGCTCTCTAAATTGGCATAAAAATAAATGCCTAAGCAGCAAACAAAACTCATGCAGTAGCATGTTTCCCAGCAACATGGATTCTCAAATATTTCTTTGACTTTGATGGTTTCATAATGTTGTAAGCAATTGAAAACATCTTCTGCTGTTAAAGATGGTACTACTTAAGGTTACATCAGCATAAGCATCAGAACATATTTTTAAAAATTTTTCTATTTGATCTGTTAAATTTTAGCTTAAAATGTGTGGCCAAATTTTGATGTGTAAATTCTTGTTCTAAAGATCAGAGAATCTGTAATTTATTAATACAGGAAAAGGTGTGTCTTGTGTGTAATATAATTCATAGTAAAGAATAAAAATTTTTTTAATGGTGAGTAATCTCACTAATGCTGTGGGCTCATACCTGAATTTCAAAATGGGGAACACTAGAAATAGTTTCATATTAGGGAAAAGAAAGTGTGCACTCCACTACATTATCTCCTGTCTAAACTGAATATTTTAAAATGCTAGAAAACAGGCTTGCATTAATCCTCTTGTAGTTAAGATTCACTACAAATCTTTGTAGTGAATGCTGGTTATCATTCTAAGACTTTTATCAATTGCACCCTTTGGCCTGATGGGTGTAAAAGATCTGCAGGAGTGACTATATAGACAGATGTTTGTAAAGTGTGAATCTCCCGCTCTACTTGTCAGATTTTGCACTGTACACTGCTCTAGCAAAATATTCTCCACTAAAGGTAAACCCAAGCAGGTAATTGACTAGTGTGGAAATATGGGCTTCCCATTAGTGAAAGCAACAGCAAGTCATCAGCTCTGAATTTCTGGGAGAAGGTTTATGAGTTTATCAGACTACTATATTGTGTTTTCCGTGAGCCTGTGAATGTTTTATGAAGGTGATGGTCGAAGAAGGAAAACAGGTATTGAATTTAAACTCATCACCTTAAAATTTGTCAGTCTTTGATAGAGGAGTTTTTGGTTTTTAAAAGCTTTTCAATAGTTTGCTTTACACAACAACAATATTCTTAAATTACTTGTGAATACATGAAAAGTGACCTATGAATAGTATGTCACCACCAGTTATTCAAAGAGGAATAAAAAATAATACAGAAACTCACCTAAGATGCTTCAGTTCTTATATTTTATGCATGCAGGCTTTACAAGTGATCAAGCAAAGGAGACTGTATTTGATCTGATGAGCTGCAGGCATTCTGACAGCAAGCGAGGCAGGTCCCTTTATTTCCTCTTTATTTCTGAACGTTCATCAAGGGAAGTTTCTAAAGCACTATCCTACTGATGTACATTTAAAAAAAACCAAAAATGTTCCTGGAATGTGTTTTATTTGATACCATAAACGGGCTGCATAGGTCTTCCTGTTCTGTTGCAGTTTTCTGGTTTTCACTGTGGTAGACTGGAACCATTCTGCTATTCTTGGAATGCTTGTGCTCTGTTGTGGTTTCTCTCAATTTCTGTGTATTTCAACAGGGGAAAGTCTTCCAGAACTATCACTTTTGAGCAGTTTAAGGAAGCTCTTCAAGAACTCTCCAAGAAACGATTTAAAGACAAGAGCGATGAGGACGCAGTTCAAGAAATATATAAACTAATTGAAGGAAAAGCCCCCATTATATCTGGAGTAACGGTATGTTGCTGATCTGCTGCATGGCTTGTCCTTTGTTCTCCTGTAGCGTTGTTATGTTCAGCGGCCTCCCTTTACAACCCAAAAACCCAAGCAGGGTGCCTCTGTGGGCCTGGAGGCAACAACTGTGCTGAGTGAGGCACCACTGTGTGTTCCTGTGTGACACTGTCACTGCTGCTGCCAGGAGCTGCAGTACCACCTAGCAGCATGCTCGGGAAAATTCAAGGAGAGCTCTTGTGTGTGCTTAGAATATAGAAACGTTCAGGATGGGTGATGTATCCAAATCAAAAAGGAAAGAAGGGAATTGAATTTAGAACCTCATTAAACAATTCTAAGATGTTGTGGGAAATACCAAAAAAAAGACTAAAGCAAAGACATCTTAAAATATATTTAATACACTCTGTGAACCCTAGAACACTGACAATCTGGGAATAATTATTATGTGGTCTAGTCTTTGTTTTTTATTTGTTCCGAGTTTGTCAGAACTATAATGTTCTTTTCTTCTTTCTTTTAAAAATATCGGCATTAAGCTTAATATATTAAAGGGAAGTTAAACAGTACATAAGTTTGCTTGTCCTTTTAAATGCTCAAGTTAGACAAGTTTTTACCTTGTAGTTTATGAGAGACTGGAGTGTTTTCACCATCACCTTGAATAGTTATGTTAGTTTAGTTCATCTGCTTAAAACTTGTGATCTTCCTGAATTTTGACTGTAGAGCTGTGAATGAAAACCTAATTGTACATAATCTTTCCAGAAATTGGTTCTGCACATATGAGCAGTGGAAATGTCAACTGGAGAGAAGGGGGAATCTCACCCAAGTATATAAGTACCTGAAGGGAGGGAGTGAATAGGATAGAAGCCAGGCTCTCTTCAGTATTGCCAGTGATAGGACAAAAGGCAGTGGGCACAAGCTGAAACATGGGAGGTTCTGTCTGAACATCTGGAAACACTTCTGCACTCTGCTGGGGAAGCACTGTCACAGGCTGCCCAGGGAGGTTACCTTGTCTCCATCCATGGAGATATTCAGAAGCCATCTGGACAAGATCATGGGCAACTGGCTGTAGGTAAGGGGATTGGAGTTCAGAGCAGATGACCGCCAGAGGTGTCTTCAACCTCAACCCTTCTATGATTCTGTTACGTGTAGTACCACTAGTTGCTTCTGGTTGAAGAGTCCAAGACAGATGTGAAGTCCTTGTGTATTCTACTCTGTATTTACAAAGGTTTCTTTGAAAGAACGTGCCTTAGCAGGATACTTAGATTGCACCTGACCCTTTTGTGTAATGTTCACAGGACCTTAAAGAGGAAGTAGTATTTTCTTTTCAGTGGATACGCATTCATCGTAAGAAACATAAAAGGAGAAATGGGGTATTCTGCAGAGCCTTATGGTGGCATCTCGTTCTCTCTCATGGTTTGTATGTATGGATCAGTTCAGGGAGTGAAAGTGTATTGTACAAGGAATTAAAGTTACTTGAATTTTGTACTATTGGAAACAAAGTGAGTCTCCCATTTCATAGAAATCGTGCCAGCAGGAAGCCAACAGGGATTGCTGTCTTTCACTTGTAATAGTCTGTCACATGTGGGAAGGGGCGCACCAGTGACTTCACATGCAACTTAGGAAAAGGCTGCAGTTCTTACTTAGTTAAAACCATCTGAAGAAAGAGCATTTGCCTTGCAGCTACTGTTGTTATGTTCATTTCATATATTGAGACTCCTGTGATGCAGGAAGCCTTCTGATCCATCCTGGGCTGAAGGAACACAGGATGTGGGATCACTGTTGTCTTGCTCTGGATTTGTGATGTTCATTGTGCTGGGGATTTAGGTTTTGTTTAAGTTTTTCAGGACAGAAAGATTGTATTTTTTTTTAATCTGTCACATTAATTTACCTTTACTTAGATTGTTGATGTTTCTTTTTCCCTGCGCATACACGTATCAACTTTCAGTTAATAGATGTGAAAACCAAAGATCTGAACTGTTGTCCCAAGTTGTCTGCTAAGTAGGTGAGATTTTTTTTTGAGATATGTCGAAGGAATGCTAAGCCACAGAGTTATTTTTGAGTGTTTCAACCATTTGCTGTATTGCTGTTGCACTGGGAACACACTTGGCTTTAACAGATGAAGAATGAGTTCTAAAAGAATGTTTTCATGTTAGCCCTAGCACAAGTCTTCACCAGAGGATGTAACAGTGTTATGAAAGAGACATCAGAAGGAAGTAGTGGATGTGAAATCTGTAGACAGATGACTGGTAAATTCCAAATGAAGAAGTGTCAAGGGAAATTAATGGGGGAAAAGAAGCAAACAAACAAAACCCAAAAACCTCACCCAGTGCAAGAACCTACAGAAGAGGAAAGTGAAATCTATTTTAAAAGTCTCTAGTAAGCTGGTTCCCATTCACAGGTATCAATTTTCTAATAGATTTCATTCACTCACACTCTCACAGTCAAGCACGAAAATGTGTGTCCCAAATTGGTCACATTTTGGCACACACGTTGCATTCCCTCTGTGTGTGGGACACAGAGGACAAGGGATGCTCACTACTGAGACATCACTGTGTCTTTCCTGGGTTCTTCATGATTGACAATGACAAACTAGTTTTTGGATAGACGTTTCATCAACTTGAAGAGTTACTAGTTGTTACAGACTGGTCCTTTGCTTCAGGGATCTTAGTTCAGCCTCTGTGAATTGTAGGCCAAGCAGTTGTCCATCCTCTGTTTCCTTGCTGGTTTGAAATGTGTCACTGTTTTCCCAGTAGACTAATGAATTTGGTAAAGGAAAAGGCAGCCAACTAGAGTTTCTGAGACTTCTCTCTGCATGTGAGAATGCAGAGTGTATGCACACTTCAAGAGAACTGATTTTCTCTAAAGTAGTGGTGAGGAAATACATGGAAAATGAATGTGTTAAGTTTAATTAACCTGACACTGAATATTGCCCCTGTCTTGCATTTGGAGTATTTCCATGTTTACAGTACAGCTTTTGTCACTGGTAGCATCCCGTGGCTTCAGCAATAGTATTATGTAAGTAAACACAGAGCAAAGTTTAGTCCTTTGATTATATGATGAGCTTTCTTGCGTCTTCTGTAGCAGCTTCTTCTGGTGTTGGGGATCGTGAAAGATACTTTGGCAAGTATTGTACCCTAGCTTTGTCCTTGCTGGCTTATGTGGGGTGAATCACAGATGGGATCTTCATTTTCTTAGTAAGTTTGTTTAGAACACACAAGTAGCGTGCTAATAGTTAAGAAAATGCCTTTAGTAAGAAGCATCATACGTTCTTTTGGAGGGAGAATGATCTAGTAATAACTTAAACAAGCATAAGAAACTTTCCCACATGTATTCTATCCTACAGTCAGCCTTTATTAGTATCCTTCTGCAGCTGTTATGACCTGCAGGGGTTTTAAAATGAAAATGAAATTAGGCGAGACAGATCTACTGCCCACTACTATAGGTGTTTCATGGTTCGCAATGGTGGTTGGTGGATGGCTTTGTTCAGTCAAGCAGTCTGACAGTTTGTCTTCAAGTCATGGCTGGATTCTTACTCATGAACACTGAATGACAGGAAACACCACACCATATGAAAGCCTATTCCTACTGGTTTGTGCCAGAATTTTTGTTCAAGGTACAAGCCTCCATGTTTCCCTTCACCTGCCAAACAAAACAGTGATTCACAAGCAAGACTTAAAATAGCACAGAATTCCTAGTGCCTAGGGTGAAGCTAACAGTTTGTGCACTCTTACAGAAATGCAGGTCTTTGTTTTCCCCTAGTTGTCAGAGTAATTTCCAGTGGCCAGACAATCCTTTGGTTCTGTTGTGTGACTCTGTGTACAACCTGTTCAATTTACTAATACCCTGAGAATAAAAAAAATAAATTCTCAGCTGGGCACTAGGCTGGGAGTTTTTACTTTGCTGCCTTTGATGTCTTAGCTTACACATTTTTATTGCATTTTCATTTTATCTAGCTGGGCTGCTAACACAATTATTGATCACAGAGTGTATTTTTTTGTTACCAGGTCTACTGTGAATACAGTTTTTCTCATTATAAGGTGCTAGCAGGCCAATGTGGACAAGAAAACTACGTATTAACGAGCAATACACCTTCCTAAGCATTGTCTTAATTTCTGTTTTTCAATAGAGAAAAAGAATCACTTCTGTTCATAGTACTCTGAGACTCCAAGGCAAAAGTCCCTAGAAGTCATTGAGTAATGCTGGTTTGAGAAATGAATGCTCCAGTGATCATTTTCTTTCAGGTAGTGATGGAACTCACACCAGCACAGCACCTTTTCTCATCAGGGCCTTGTGTGAAAGTAGCACTGCAGGGCAGGCAGGGCTGTCTGTGTCACATGTTGGATATATTTGGAGGGAGAAGAGCAGAAGTTCGCAACCTGAGATTCTCATTAATTAGTTATATATGTGGACAAAGTCCCTCAAAACAGCTTTTATTTAAACGATGTGGAGGACATGTGACTTCCATGGCATTCACTCACAGTCTCATGGATTCCAACTGTCTTGGTACAGATTCAAGTATCTTTTCCAAGTATCTAATCTTTTACTGTTCAGTATTAAAAGGTATCTGATGTCCTATGGAAGACCTATGGGTTACTTCAAAAGTCTGTTTTTTAGGTGTTATTAATGAGCACTTGTTTAGGCTAAGGATGGATAGAGAGGGAATGAGGTTTTTGAAGAAAGTTTCCCAGAGCATTTGCTTCACTACAATGAAGCCCATGTCACTTGTCTCTAAAATGCACATAAGAAAGATACCCAAATTTAATCAGTCTTTGTTCATCTTAGCTCTATTTCCACTAGTACACAAAAACGTTCTGTGTGTTCCCTTCTCCTTTAGTGCCCTTTCTCTTCTGATTTTAAAATGTAACCTTAAGGATCAAAATGACCGTTCCCAGTCCAAGCACACAGGTTAACATGTTTCTGTATTGTTCTGTGAAATAACTTTTTCTTTCTGTTTGTGTAGTCAAATTTTCTTTTTTTCTCAATGACAGCAAAACTCTGATTTTTAAGTAGCCTGATATGACTCAGTAGAAGCAATGTAGAGGAAGGTCTTTGCTCAGTGCCATTTCTTAGTCTGCTGATTTTCTGTCATTGAAAATAACTTTCAGTCCTTTTAGTTTGTTACCTCCATCATGAATTCGAGAGCTTAGAATAAATTTGTCTCTTGAAGCAATGAATTCTAGCTGTATTGGTTTTGCATTTTCTGTATTGGCTCAAGGCTTTATGCTTGAATGTTGACGTTATGGATTTTGAACAAGGCTGTTCCCTATGACTTCTTCATAACTTTGGTGCTTAGAACTTGATTATTAATCAGAAGTATCCTGTACTGAAAGTCTCTTCCAAAAGTTTTTGACACAATTTGCACTATTTTGGTCTTGTCTATATGATTATTGTCACTGTACGTAATGGCAAGAAACAAACATTTTTTGTATCCTTTTGCTGAAAGTGAGTAGTCTCCATCATTAGCCAAGATTTAAATGTACAAATATCTGTATTATGAATAAGTGATTTCTAATGTGGGCTTTTTTGTTTCTGTTCTTTCTTCTCATAGAAAGCCATTTCATCTCCAACTGTATCACGCCTTACAGATACATCAAAATTCACGGGTTCTCACAAAGAGAGGTTTGATCCCAGTGGGAAAGGAAAAGGCAAAGCTGGCCGAGAAGATCTGGTGGATACTTCAGGATATGTATCTGGCTATAAGCACGCAGGCACATACGATCATAAAGTACAAGGAAGCAAGTAAGGCTGAGGGTTTACAATACAGAGGGAGAAAGAGAGGGGGAAAGAAATATTTGTAAGAAAGAGGTAGATGAATCCCACATGTTTTGGTTATTGTGAATGCTAAGACTATGTTGTCAAGAAGTTGTTTTCAGGAACTGGAACTGATTTCAACATCTGCTGAGCTACTTGCAGAACAACGCCACTTCATTACATTCCTCATGCGTATATTGGCAAAAATAAGTATATTGGTACAAAAATACATTATTTTTTGAGCTTAATAAAAAAACCCAACAAATTCAAAAGCAGTTATACTACACTGTGTCAATTCAAGCAAAAGATCTCAAACATTCCTAAATGTCCAGTTACCCTGAGGATGTCGAAGAGAACCTTTTGAAAAGAGGGTCTTGCATAGCAGTCTTTCTGAAGAATATCCCCTTATTTATGCAGTTTGATTTGACTACTGTTTGAGGGCTTTTTTAAAATGTCTTATATGGGATCTGGCACTTTCCTTAAAACATTCAACAATATACTACTGGGGAGTAAGTGGTTATAATATACAAGGTGCAAGCCTATAAATGTCATAAGTGACTCATGAAAAACTGAAAAAAAGCTATTTGTAGGACAATATAGGTTCTAAAGTTTTTACGTCAACAGAAAGATGTGGAAAATACCAGCCCTTACTTTCCTCCTGTCTATACTTTGCGCTTGTTACTGTCTGTACTGTAGCATGGTTCTCACTGGCTGGATTTGGATAGAGCTATTGTACTAACCTGAGAGATGAGGAACAAGACATTACTCACATCTGAAATGAAGGGGGCATTAAGCTAATAATGCTTTAAAATATTGATTATGACTAAACACTGCCAATCAGATTGCTATTAAGTGAATGTGATAATGCACATACATTGGCACATATTCCCTTTAAGCTATAACATATGCAAGGAAAGTTGGCAGCCCCTTGGAATAAGGACATTTACAATTAATATCCATTAATTAGGTGCAATTTTCCCACAGAAATACAGTATTATAACTGGGCTACCTTTTGTTAGATTTGTTTGAAGCCAAGGGATCTGATTCTCTGTTCACTTTTGCTGCCTGACTTGGGAGTAGTGGGAATGGCTTTCCACTGCTATAGAAGGAGAACCAGTTTCACAGGCTTAAGGTACAGGCAGCTGAGTGTGACCTGCCTGGGGCCCAGAATGCCAGAACAGCTTAATAGGAGTAAAAATAACTTGTTTTTGTATTGCTTACAAAAGAGGTAAAAGGCTGGTGCAATTTTCCACAAGAGCTGAACAAGTACCCTAATGTAGTACTCTGCTTCTCTAAAATTATGGAAGATAAGATTTTCAGTATTCAAAAGCAGCTGCTAGCAGTTCTGCTTTGCTTTCTTTCAAAAAGATCTCATGCACTGATTTTCATGTTCAACTCTGAATAAATGTTGACAGATGTATTGCTCTCCCTTCATTCATATAAGCATCCCACTCAGAGCACATAAAATTTAGTGAGCGCTGTGTGCCGTCATGTGCCGTGCAGGTCAACAGTCTGTATTTGGCCAACTTCCAGAAACACAGCACTGGTTTTCAGCCCTTATAATGTTCATATTTTGCTTTTCTGACATTGAACGGTAGCTTTTCTTGTAACTTTGCCTCCAATGACCCTTTGAGCCCCTACATCAGCCTGAAACCAAAACAACAATAGCAAACAAAGGCAAGGACTTCCTTGTGGACTTGGAGATTTTATTGTTTGTTTATAATTTATTTTGGGTTTTGTTTTGAAGAGGGAGGGAAGTTTGCCAAAACTCAGCACGTGTTCTTGTAAAGATTTAAATGGCTTTTCCCATGGTTGGCTCTGGTTACCTGGGAAGAGTTCTGATGTATGTAAGGATGCTCAGGATGAGAAACATTCAGCTTAGTGAAGCCTTTCCAGGAGTTACCCGTTGTTCTTGAAGAAGAATTTCCATGGAATGAAGGATTATCCACTGCTGTGTTGCACTGGTGACCTGTCACACTCTGAGACAGAGAATAGCATACTGTGATACCAACAGTGGCCAAATTATTCCAGCATGGTAGTGAACTGTCCAACTGTTATACATCTCTGGTGCCTGTGCACCTGTGGAAGGTTCCAGGATAGTCCTGTTTTTTATGCATAAAAAGTCTAAGCTTCTAACCCTTGGTAAAACCTTCAGCTAAGTTACAGGCAAAACCAGTGTCCGTTTTCTTCCTGTTAACTTTAAGACTTTAATCATAACTCGCTGGTAACTTAAAAGGTCTGGACTGAATGAAAGGTGAAGTCCAGTCTACTGCAGAGCTCTTTCAGCACACTGTTGATCTGGCTGTTGTTAGCTAGCTGCCTTGTCTGGCACATCCAGTGATATTTAACTGAGGGTACACAAGAGACAGGCTTTCTCAAATACTGAGCACCAGTAATGCCAGGCTGTCACTGCACAGGAAGAATGATTGGTTAGGAAGGTTTTAAGGTACAATTAGGTTTTATGTTGCTAGCTCACAGTGTGAGAGAGACCAGCACACTCCTAAGACAGAAGGCATGTAAAGGAATTGAGGATGTGGACAGATCCAAGTTGACTTTGACTAAAAATTGAGCTACTCTGTTTGCTTAGAAGAGGCTGATGGGACTAGCTGGGATTCTGCCAGAGTTTACTTTGCATTACTTGTACAGTATAAAATCTCTGCCATGAACCAAAGCCCTTTGTGTGAACCCAGTGTAAAGATCTTTGAAATACTTTTGATGGTGTAGCAAGCTTTGGATCCGGGCCTGAGAAGATGCTTCAGATAGCAGTATTTCATTTTGAGGAACGCACTTCTTTGTTTCTTTCATTTCTACAGTTCTTAGTTTTAAAACTCAAACAGATGCATGAAAAGAAGTCATTCTGATACGACAATGACAAAGGAAAGTTGTGATTGGAGAGATGGTACCTTGGAAAGATTTTTCCCTTTTACTACCTTTGGTGTGAAAGATAAGGGCTATGAATGAAAGCACCTTGTGCAGCTGTGTATTAGGTGTTCAGCCACCTACTTGCGCTCTTATTTTTCCACTAATATCTGTAGGAGTTTAAAAGCCTAAATACTAGCTTGAATGTTAGCTATAAATTCCAGGCCTGCTTGGGAATGAGGCAAAGTACATTTTCTTGTTTATCTGCCGTTCTCTCAGTTCTCAGGACAGCAAGTACAGATGGTACCTCAGAGATGAGGGGAAGGGATAGCTCAGGAGGTGACCCATTTTCAACCCTTGAAGTGTTGTAGAGCATATGCTCTTCCTGTGCACCATACTCCAGACTGTAAACAAATGTCATATCTGAAGTAAGGGCATGGGTATCTAATAAGGTTTACAGTCATCTCCTTTTTTTGGACATCTCAACTCATTCCATCTAACATTCCAGTCTGATTTTCAACATCTTTTATGCTGCAGCACTCTTCTGTGTGACATCTTCTATAAAACCCTCTTGTTCCTAATTATATTTGCTTTCATTACCACTGAACATGCTATAAAAAGAAATGTGATCAGAAAGTTCAGGTAGCTTTTAGCAATAATTGCCTTAAAGAACAAATCCAAATTACAATATTAATTTAAAATGGAACCCTTAAATACTATGCCAGTACACTGTCGTGGTTTAGCCCAGCAAGCAGCTAAACACCACACAGCTTCTTGCTCACTCCCCCCTGCTCCTCAGTGGAGTGGGGGAGAGAATCAGAAGAGTGAAAGTGAGAAAACCAAAACTCCTGGCTTGAGATAAAAACAAGTTTGAAGATGAAAATAAACAAAACTGAAACAATAATAATAATGATGAAGTGTAATAAAAATAGGAACAAGAATAATAAAGCGATCAAAATTATACTCAGCTCCTAGCAGCAGATGCTGGTTGTGAGTTCCCAGCGTCACTGGGAACAGCTCCAGTGAAAATGTGATGGTCACTAAGTGTGAGTGGGGAACTGAGTGGCAGATGAGGCCTATAGGGACAGCAGCTATCCAAAGAAGAAGGGTGTCCCCAACAAACTCCCTTTTGACGTTTATGGTATGGGTTACATTCTGTTGATTAGCTTGGATCACACCCAGATCATCTGTCCCAGAAAACCCTGCACTTTTGTTCCCACCTCATCCTCTTATGCAGAGAGAAGGGGGAAAAGGCAAACCAAACAAAAACCAAAAAAACCCAAACCAAAAGAAAGGTGGAGTGCAGGTGCAGGTGAAAATTGAAAAACAGTCCTTGAGTTAAACATTACTTGGCAACAAGCAAAACTTCTGTGCACTATCAACATTTTTCTTAGCATTAATCCAAAAAACTATGAGGAAATAACTCTATCCCAGCTAAAGCTATAATACCAACTGCTGGACAGAACATGGAATTCTACAATTCAAGCCAGGATATACACAAACTTACCTGAGCCTCCACTGAGGCTTAACCTCACCATCAAAGCCTTTGCAAGACTGAGAAGAAGAAATAAAAATCATGAGGCAAAAGGATAGTCCTTACAAAAAATTTTCTAAAACCTAGTTTTTAAATGAAATAAGTAGAAATCAAACGGGTTTTCTTACTAGTGCTTACTTACTAATTTCCTCTAGTCATTCCATGTGCTTTAGTTACTTGTTGAGAGTTTGGCAACAATCTTATCAATATGGAAATACCAGAAGCAAAATTTACTGTCCTGCTTTTTGTGGCTATCAAAGCTATCATAATAGTGTTACTGAGAAGCAGACATCAAAAGCCACACATTGTCTCAGCAGTCCTATGTGAACAGTTGTCATTAATTGTAATCAAATATTTGGAATCCCAAAGGAAATGTTGAACACTGGGCCATGGCCGAAGATTTCAAAACCAGTCATAACTTGGGTTTTTCATCAGCACAGAGATTGTCCTTCAAAGATATTTTGGATTGAAGTATGATATTTTCCATGTATTTTACTGACCTTGCCAAAATTAAAAATTTTTCTAATGACTTTTTGGCATGATAGAAATCTTTGTTCATGAATTAGCATTTCAATCACCCATGTTTTCCCTCTGTTGGCTCAATTCATATTTTTGATGGTAGCTGGAATTGGCCAGAACTAAAAGGCAAATGATTGCTATGGGTTTGTCTTTCAAGTGATAGCTATCCCAGCCATCTGTAACCATCTGTAGATAAAATCCTTGTGTATCTTTCTCCAAAACCAAAACTTTGAAGTTGTAATTGATAGTTTTTTTCCTTAAGGCTTGTCATAGTTATAAAATAAATTTTAATTCTTTGTGCCTGCATGTATGATATTCAAAACATAACCCTGCCTTTCAGTGATGCATGTGTTCTGGGGGCATGCGTCTGTCATCCATGAATGA